TACATTCTCCCCCTACCCCTTGATTCCTAGTGTGGTCTGAGTATCCGAACACAGAAAGGTCAGCAAAGAATACTCACAGTCTTTCTCATCGCTTCCATCCTGGCAGTCGCTGTTTCCATCGCAGTGGAAACTGTTGAAGATGCACTGGTCTCCAGTCTCGCAGGCAAACTGTGTGTTGGTGCAGTTACTGGGGGGGTCGCAGTCTGTTTCGTCTGAGCCATCGTCGCAGTCGGGGTGACCGTTGCAGTGGAACCATGAGTCTACACACTGCAGGTTGGCGCACTGGAACTCCCACGAGTAGCAAGCTGGGGAGAAAAGGAGGGAAGAAAAAATTGTCTTCCGACAGGAGAACAAAAAAAAACTACACACAGAAGAAAACAGGCAAACGACAAACCAGATGATTTTGGGGAAAACAAATGTTCAAAGGAATGGAAGAAAGATAGTTTTGGTAAAAGTTCTTCAGCACTTGCAAACACAATAAGGTCATATAAGTGCCAAAGATCAGGGGTATTTCTAGAGAAACAAACAGAAAAAAAAGGCGGAGATACAAGGACAATGGATGTTTGATAGGAATGAAGGAGCAAACCATTCCATAGCATCCGCTTACCTTACCACATCAGAGCACCCGCCATCATTCCCACATAAGAATCGAACTCAATCTTCTGGTGGCAATGGGGAAGAGTCCAACCTTTACATTAAAGACACCAGACACCAGTGCGGCATTGATGTGAAATGACATCACATGACATGACACAACAAGAAATGACATAACATAACATAACAATACATGACATAACATAACATGACATGACATGACATAACAAGACATAACATAACAAGACATGACATGACATAACATAACAAGACATAACATGACATAACAAGACATAACATGACATAACAAGACATGACATGACATACCAAGACATAACATAACAAGACATGACATGACATAACATAACAAGACATGACATAACATAACAAGACACAACATGACATAACATAACAAGACATGACATGACATAACATTACACAACAAGACAAGACATAACATAACAAGACATGACATAACATAACAAGACATAACATAACAAGACATAACATAACAAGACCTGACATAACATAACAAGACATAACATAACATGACAAGACATGACATAACATAACAAGACATAACATAACATAACAAGACATGACATAACATAACAAGACATGACATAACATAACAAGACATGACAAGACATGACATAACAATACAATACATGACATAACATAACAAGACATGACATGACAAGACATGACATAACAATACAATACGTGACATAACATAACAAAACATGGCACAACAAGACATGGCATAACAAGGCATGATACGATATGACATGAGATAACATGATGTGAAATTACATGACATGACGTGAAGTGATGAGACATGACATGAGATAACATGATCTGACAATGGTGAAATGGTATGAGTTTAACGCCCCTATCAACACTATTAGGTCATTTAAGAGGCGGGACCTCCTAGTTTAACGTCCGTCTGCGATAGGACCGAGCCAAGTGGGAAGTTCATGTAAAGTGTCTTTCCCAAGGACACGACGTCGGACCGAGCTGAGGCTCGAACCCCAGAACCCGCAATCTCACAATTAAGAGTCCGTTAGCCTAACCACTAGGCTACCGACGCCACTTAACATAATGTGAAAAGACATGACATGAGATAACATGATGTGACATGACAATCTTTATTCATCTTACAGAGAAAAAGGTCTTGGTCATTTACACCTGCAGTGCTGTAACAAAGGTCAGGTGCACTCTGTAAAGATTCTACTCTCTGTTCCTTCCCCTCTCTCCCTCCCCCCTCTCTCTCTCCCTCTCCCTCTCTCTAATACAACTTACTGGTGTTGTAGCTGCAGTTTTCTTCATCTGTACCATCCAAGCAGTCATCGTCCTTGTCACAGCGGAAACGTTTGCTCACACAGTAGCCGTTGTTACAGCGCATCTGCTCAGACGAGCATGTTTGGTTTTCTGTAGATACATAGACAGACAAACAGATTGAGAGAGAGAGAGAGAGAGAGAGAGAGAGAGAGAGAGAGAGAGAGAGAGAG